GGATATGGGGGGGGGGATATGGATAAACAAAGCGGATATGGGGGGGATATGAAGGGGAGAAAAATGGGAGATATGGGACGGTGAGGGGCGATCGATCCTGTGGGGGCTGAAGGGGGGGACGGTTCCTGGGGGTGAGGTGGATCCCCAAGGCCGAACACCCAGGACTGAGGTCGCCGCCGGTCCCGAACAAAGGGCCCGTGACCCTTTAGGGCCGCCGTAGCCTCCCCGCGCCCCCTCCCGCTCGGCCTTACCGGGGCCAGGGCCCTTCCCGGAGCCCTTCTCGGGCCTCATCCTGCTCCGATCCAGACGCGATCCCGAGCCCGGTCCCGGCGGGGGAACAAAGAAGCCGCCGGAGACGCCGCCGCCGCCTCAGGGAGCGCCGGGCCCGCGCCTGCGCGCCCCGCCCCGCGCCGAGCCCCGCCCACCGCGCCCGCTCAGCCAATGGCGCGGCGCCCCAGCGCCAGCGCAGCCAATGAGAGGCGACCAGAGGGGAGCGCGCGCGGCGGCCCCGCCCGCTCTCCCCGCGAAAGCAGCCAATGGGAACGCGGCGCGCTGCCCTAATGAGGGAAGGAAGGGGGGAATGGGGGAGGCCGCACCCACCCTCGGCCCAGCAGCCAATGGGAGGCGCGTTCGTCGGTGCTCCCCGAACCCGCCCTGACTGAGCTGTCAATCATTCCCCCTCTCCACCAATCAACGCGGCGCTCTTCCGCCTCGGCCAATGAGAAGGCGGAGAAGAGGCCGGGGAGGCGGGGCGCGGGGGGCGCGCATGCGCGGAGTGCGCGGCACTGCGGCGAGGGGGAGGGGGTAAGGTTAAGGGGTTAACCCCATTTATTTTTTTTTTTTTTTTTTTTTTTCCGAATTTCCCCCGCCGCATTTCCCCTCTGTCTTTCCTCGTCGGCTGAGTTACTTGAGAGCTCGGTTGGGAGGAGGCGTTTGGAACTCCAAAGACAGCCAGGGGTCAGGGTGGTGTAATCCCAGTAATGTTCATAAGGCCGGAAATACTCACAGGAGTTTGTCCTGTTAGCCGCGTCCAGCCAGCTCAAAACTCCGATTCACTGCTTTGCTTTATTGTACTTCAGCGCCCTCGGAAAGAGAATTGCCAATCGCTCTGGCGTCCCGCAGCTCAAAGACTGCCTTGGGACTGAAAACATCTAATGGCAATGAGTATCAATGTAAAAGCAGTGAAAGTAAAAAAAAATTAGATTTTAAACTGAGATGGATGTCCTGTAACCTAGGGAACAGGGTGGACAGGTCCCAGGTGGGTCACAAACCCTTCTCTGTGACCCAGTTCCTGGGTGCTCCTGAGCACAGCTGGGCTGGAAAACATTCCTGAACGCATCTGGATTGGAAGGGCTGGGGTCTGCAGGGGCCACACCGGGAATGCCTGAGGGGTCTCGGCCTGTTCAGCCCGGAGGAGGCTGAGCCAGAGGCTGCTCCTGTTTGTTCCGTTAATGTTCTGTTAACTGTGGAAAACACCCTGTTTTTTATGTTAATTGTTGCTGTTTTGTCCTGATCCCCACTCCCTGGAATTGTCTTGCCGTTTTGCCCTTTCCCTCCCCCCCGTCGGTGACGCCTTCGCTGCTCCCAAAAT